ATTGTTTTTGAGTGAGGGACAATAAATGTGACCCCTCTTATTAGATGATCTGTTCACCTTTAAATCAACGACACAACTCCGTAGGCTGTAAATTGAGTGACGCATGCGCATACGTGGCGATGAGTGCAAGGACTCCTAATCGAGCACCGAGTGAGTCATCGGCGCCTCCCTCCGTCATCCACCACAATGGCAGATAAACAACAAAATGCTCAAAAAAGGTAAAACTGTTGTTAGCCAGTGGATACCGTCCAACATTCAGTGTGAAAGTTAATTCCAAGAGAAGTTATCTAGAAATAGACACATTAAAGTAAACCGACTGTACTTAAGACGGATGAGCTAATAAGCTAGCGAGCAACAGAAGCTAACATCTTCACATTTTCACCTTTTTGTTTCCTCCTAATGTTGTTTTATAACTTTTATTTCCAGTGTTAAAATAGCCGCTGGGGCCGTGGTGTGTGTGGAAAGTGAAATAAGAGGCGATGTCACGATAGGTGAGATGTTTTGCTGATGTGGAAAAAGTTGAATATCTGAAGATTGAATTTGACTTGTTTTCCTTCTGCAGTGTGATTAAATGAAAACTGAACCCCCTTTTTCAATGTGGTGTTTCCTCAGGTCCTAGAACTGTAGTCCACCCTAAAGCCCGGATCATTGCAGAGGCAGGACCCATCGTGATTGGAGAGGGGAATTTAATCGAGGAGCAAGCTCTGATTATTAACAGGTGACTTCAGCTTCCTGTTCACCTGCAAGAAGAACAAGATCCTCACACGTCACAACATGAAGCAGAATGTGTGCTGCGTCCTGCATCCTGCATCATAATGTTAAATATATACCACAACAGCTTTTCCCCCTGCTGCTGCGAGGCGTGCAGCACGGGACATTAAGATGGGAAGCAAGTACTTCACCCCCCACACCTCACCGTGCGGCGCAAGTGTGCGGCGCAAGTGTGCGGCGCAAGTGTGCGGCGCAAGTGTGCGGCGCAAGTGTGCGGCGCAAGTGTGCGGCGCAAGTGTGCGGCGCAAGTGTGCGGCGCAAGTGTGCGGCGCAAGTGTGCGGCGCAAGTGTGCGGCGCAAGTGTGCGGCGCAAGTGTGCGGCGCAAGTGTGCGGCGCAAGTGTGCGGCGCAAGTGTGCGGCGCAAGTGTGCGGCATTAACCTTAAAAACAAAAGAATGTGAAAATGATGTGTGCAATAAGAGATGTAGAAAGAAACAAGAAAACATATTTATATTTTCATTTTATTGTACAGTGTTCCCCTTTGTTATTTTTTTGTATTATATCTTTGCTTTAATACAGTGTTTAACTTCTGCGCAGTTTATTTTAAATCACTTAGCTGTTACTACAACTTATTTATCTTTATTTTGACTTTTTTTTGTACTTTTTTTCTTTTTTATATATAATTTTAACTTTTTTTGTAGAAGCTGACTCGGCTGACCCTGTCCTGTCCTGTACCTGTGCAAATGGTAATAAACATCTATTCTATTCTAAAAGCGTCCCTGTTTTTTCTCTACAGTTACCCCGAGAACATCACACCAGAATCTGAGGTGGAACCGAAGACGATGACCATCGGCATGAACAATGTATTTGAAGTTGGATGTGGTATCCTTTTTGACTCACCTGACCAGTCTTATTCAGTAAATCACCTTTTCTATGTCGTAAGCATTTCAGTAAAAATCGATTTTGCCTGAGCCGAAACAAACAGTATCACAAGCCCTGAAGATCGGGGACAACAACGTGATCGAATCAAAAGGTGGGGATGTTTACATTTATGTTCAGCTTCCAGAGACAGTTGGAGGATTTGAACAAACTGAAGTCAGTGATGTATCAAATATCCTCCCTTTTTATGTCGTCTAGCTGACGTGGGCAGGAATGTGATCCTCACCAGCGGCTGTATCATCGGAGCGTTCTGTCAGGTCAACACCTGTGAAGTCATTCCTGAGAACACGGTTATCTACGGCTCTGGGTGTATGAGGCGGGTTCAGACAGAGAGACCACAGGTATGGATACGCAAACCAAAAGCACTCCGTTGGGATTACTGTGTTCAACATCTGTATCAGACAATATAAACCCTGTTGACAGACATCAGCAAATAATGTGGTAGGAACCGATGTTTATTTGTTGTTCCAAATCAATTTAATGCTGTAACAGGAAGCTGTTTTACCTTTTTTTTTTTTTTTGCCTGTGCATTTGTGAGGCGGGAGGCTAGACGAAGAGTGAGAGTGGGTTTGAATGAATATTTTCTGTTGACTGTCATCGTTCTCCTCATAATTATCAAAAGATTTTGGTCTTTCACTCTTTTGTTTAACAAATCTACAAACATATCTCATCCATTCGATCTGCAGAGTCCCTCTGCACCTTTAAGAAAAAGCTAAAGACCCAGCTCTTTCATGAATACCTACTAACTTAATGATGATGGTCTCCATATTATTGATGATGATGATGGTAATGACGATGGTTTTAGTTTGATAACGACGACTTATAAGATGGTTTCTATACTGATTAGAGCTCTCAAGAACTGCCCTCAATGTTGTGCTTTGCCTCTGGTCACTTCCTGTCAGCACCTGTGTGTCCAATCAGACTCAAAGCTGATCGTTTGCTCTTCCTGACATTGTTCCCTGTTTTCTAGATCCTTGTTTCTGTTTTACTTACTCTCTGATGTACGTCGCTTTGGATAAAAGCGTCTGCTAAGTGAATTGAAGAATTGTAGAATATCTGGACGCTGTGGCTTCATCTGCCGCCTCTGTGACGTCCCTTTATACGTCATGTTAAATATGACTGAAAAAAAGGCACATGTTGGTTAAACTGTGCTTGGAAATGTTCAGTTTGGTCGTGTTTTTTAATCACAGATCAACATTGAGGTCGTCCTCCTTAATCAACATCTATTTTTAATGTCTGAGAACTCTTCTGTGGTTGTAGTCAGGTCGATGTGAAGGATTTTCAAACACGTCCTTTGTGTCCTCGGCTTATCAGCATGTTTGTGTTTGTCGTCTTTCCAGCCCCAGACTCTTCAGCTCGACTTTCTGATGAAGATTCTGCCAAACTATCATCACCTGAAGAAGACGGTTAAAGCCGGCCACAACGCCAGCTAAACTTTCTGGATGTTTTTAGTAGAATTGTAAATGCTAAGCTAAACCTTATTTAAATGGATCTTTCTTGAATGTATATAAGTATTGGATACTTACCCAGCCTCTCAGTACTCTCTCTCTCACTCCCTGATCTATATTTTCTACTCTAACCTCAACAGCTGATAAAGCGTTTCATCTGTTTCTCGCTTTGCTGATACTGTTTTCTATGATTCATTAAATAACCTGAAAAACTCTGAGTGTGGACTCCTTTATTATCAGTGTTAGCAGTGATTCTACCATGATGCTGTCCAGTAAATGTGTGTCTTGAAAACGGTCCCTGATAAATCTAAAATCTGTAATCACTTCCAACTACAAACTTTAGCCAAAGTAAAACAGTTTTTTTGAGTCGGTCAGTCCTCCCTCTCATGTATGCAGAATGTGCAAAATGTTGCTGCAAGATTTTATGAACAAATACATGAAAACAGGACCACGAGACCTTCACCCGCCTCCCTTCACTGGCTCCCTGTTGGATTTTAGAATTAATTTTTCAACTTGTTTTCAAGTCACTCCATGATTTTAGGGTGACCCCTTACACTTCTATAATTAATTTATCAGAAGCCTTGATCCAAAGTGATGTACATCACAGTTCAAGACTAGAGAGGAGGAAACAATGTCAGTAACTAACAGCTTCAAGTCTGATTGGACACACAGGTGCTGACAGGCCAAGAACAACGTCGACAGCTGTTCTTGAGAGTTTTAATCGGCATCAAAAACATCCTAAAATCATCATTATCATCACCATTACTATCATTAAGTGTGGAAGTGTTCATGAAACAGCTGGGTCCTTAGCTTTTCTTATTCAGAACTTTAAATCCTCTAAACCCCGATACGATCACTCAGGTCCTCTGAGAGTCTCTTATCGTCGTCCCTCAAGCTCAGCGGAAACTCAGGGGCGACCGTGCCTTTTAAGTTGAAGGGATCCAGCGGTGCAAGGCAGGCAACTGCTTTTAGCCCCAAAACCAGTAGGGGGAGCCCCTGAGGTGCTCACAAACTTAAACCAAAGCAGTGGCCCAAAATGTGCTTTTTTTTTTTTTTTTTTTGCAACGACAGTAGGAAACCTCCCTTAAGGGGCCCCTATCTGACAGCACTCACTCTGGTTGCCCCCCCCCCCAATTGATTTCTGCCTAGGGCCCCAACAGACTGTAATTGCCACTGGTGGAATCGATTGCCTCCCCTCATCAGAGGCGCTAAATCGTTAAATTAATTAAAAGACCCGCTCAAAACCGGCCTTTAAAATGAGCAACAACAAATTGAATATTTGATCAAAAATGTGTTTTTATGTTTTTGTATTCAAGGCTTTATTTTTTTTCTGTGATCTATTACGCCTCGTCTGTAAAGCACTTCAGTCATCTTTTAAACCTGCTAAACAAATAAACCTGACTGACAGCTTCATGTAAATCAATGAGGCAGCATCCTGTAACTGTCATTTATTAAAATAAGTTCAAAAAAGTTTTTTTTTTTTTTTTTCGCATTTTCAACAACTCTGCAATGTTGCTACAAGTCAGAGGAATCACATTGTTTTCATTCCACTCGTAGTAAAAAGTCCACGTTGTTTCCTGCTGGATGAAGTGACCCCACATGTGATGCACTGAACAACACAATCCTGTCGCCTGCAGCTCCTGAAGGCAGCCGTTACACTTCCTCACACACCTGTTTGCAAAATACTGAACAAAATGACAAAAGTATTTACACACTTTTTTTTTTTTACTTAAAGTCGCAGTGCCCCCCCTTCAGGATGCTTGTTGTAAGGCTATTTAGTGTCTTTAAAAGGTTCCTGCTCCCGTGTCCTTCAGTTATCACTGATCAATAAATGAAAGAAAAATAAAAAAGGATTCCACAACACAGTTCACTCCATGTAATACACTGATCACTGAGAGGAGCTCAAAGAAAGGAGAAGAAGCTAGTTGGTTTGACATAAACACTCGTGTCGCAGTGTGTCCTTTTGAGAACCTTTTTCTGATTTACAGACTCGACATCTCTCCCTTTACGTCGTAACGCAGTGAGGGGGGAGAGACTTTCATTTCTTCACAGGAACACCCTCTGAATAGTCCTCCAGGACCCCTGCCAGATGGTTGTTGTGGGTCTTGAAGTGCCTCTTCCTCTGCCCACCTTGCTTCTTCCTCTTATGGACTGGTAACTGCAGAGAGCACGGGAACACGACCAACATCGATTAGCAAAACACGACTGCTATAAATCAGTGAAATCTAATATATCTGAAGTTGTTTCCGATCAAATAGAAGGAATTCTGTGTTTTACAAATCATCCCATCACACTGAACTCAATGCCCCAAACCTTTTAGGGAATCAGGGTTGTAAGAATTCAAAATGAGAATCGCGTATCTGAGAGTTCAGGGGACACTCACCACTTTCTTTGGTCCCGTCTCCTGCATAGAGGAGATGCCTTGTCTCTTCAGGTACTCCTCGATCTTCTCCTCGTCCATGGAATCGATCGGAACGCTCCTCCACAGTTTCTGGAATTCTGAAAAATTTAAAGAAACGTTACTTGAGCGGAAAAAACACATCGAATAAACAGCTGGACAAACAAATCAAGTACTTGAATTAAAAGGTATTTATTCACTCATATATTAGGATATCATGTAAACACTGACTGTCCTTAATGGAGAGCAGTGTGACCCGGTGCGGTTTGGGCAGATTGCTTGTACTTCATGAGTCTGATTTTCCAAAAGAGCGAGCCTTATCACCGTCTGATCATGCTCACCTTCGTCGACGACAAACTGGCAGTGCTTGTCATTGTAGAAGAGGATCTTCTTCTTATCTGGTCTTGTCACAAAGATGATCTGATCTCCCAGAGCCTGTGAACACACCACAGATTATGTCTCTCATCTGTTTCGGTCACCACAGGTTTCACTCATCAAACTGTCACAGACGCTCTTAAAACTCAGTTGTATTTATTGTTTTTAGTTTGCATGACTATTCTGGTCCTGATATTTACCCGCCATGTTGCAGACAGCGCTCTAAGATTGACCCTCCAAACTGAAAATCTTCCCCCACATTTAATACTTGGTAGATGTTCATTTCTGGACTCTGTGAGTTACCTTTATGGCCTTGGCTGAGTTGGGCAGTCCCTCCTCCACGTCGTCCAGCAGCACTCCTCCCAGGCCCAGCTGGTCGTGTTTGTCCAGCAGCCTCAGTAAGGCTTTCTTGTCCTTCAGGTTGTACTTCGGCTTGAAGCCATACGTCGCATCCCGGACCTCGATTTTGGGGTTGCTGACCAAGGCCTGAGATAGTCCGAAAGGAAAAGGAACACAGATAACGTCATGTCATGCTAGACCTGAAGTAGCTCTCCAGCTTCAAGAGCAAATGTAGTTATTATTAGGACTGTGGTATAACTTTGAAAAAAAACATTTGCAATACATTTCATTCTCTCTTTTTGATTTTCATCTCTTTAAATAAAACTTAGATTTTTAAAGTAACAGTAGCTCCAATTTTATTTTCAGGCCATGTCGGTTTAGAAGTCGTGAATGTTGTATTATGTTTAATAGCAGCTTCTACTCAGTGGATAACTGTAGCTCTATTCAGACTGTGATATTTACACCCCTGTGATGTTTCACATTCAGTCTGTATTTCACAGTGGGCATGTGCAGCATCTTCTGAGGGTAACAGAAGCGAGACGGTATCAGCAGAACCAGCAGGGGAGTGCAGTGCTGTGTGTGCGTGTGTGCGTGTGTGCGCGCATGTCTGACTGTGTGTGTGTGTGTGTGTGTGTATGTGTGTATGTGGAGCTCCCGCTGTGCCGTGCTGCAGCCTGGGACACCAAGTCTAAAAAAGTGTGCGCATGATAAACAATGTTCTTATTCAAGATTTGCTCACAGCAGCATATACACATATACATATATATATATACATATATACATATATATATATTTGATGGGAAATAAAGAGTTTGGGGGATTTCAGCTGTAAAACTGGTCGGTGGGTCGGTGTTTTAATTACTTTTTAGGTCACAGATAGAAGTGAAACACATACAAACAACATAAACATACCTCTGTCATGAGCCACTGTTTCTGCTTCATGCTGATGTCAAGAAGTTTGGTCTCATCCAGAATCTCATCCAGGGTCAGGAAATGTGTGTCACCATTTTGATGCCTCGTCTGAAAGAGTTCAGGAGAAAGAAGCATGTGGATTTACATTTTTTATTTCAAACCAAAGAGACAACTTCTATTTATATATGCAACCCACAGCTCTTATTTAAAAGTGTTTCTTAGACCCTTAGGGGTTTGCATTCATCCTGTCAGTGTATGTTTCATGGTTAAGACACGGTGTTGTCAACAGGTGGCACATCAAAAATGAACACTTGAGTGTGAGCTCTGCAGGGAGGCATGAGTCATAGAGCTCAGTGTGAGAGCGCCTGGCCGCCTCTCTGCAGAGCCACAGCATGATGATCAAGCTGTTAACACACCAAAAGCAAAAGACTGAGGAGCAAATGTTGTGCAGCGGACTCAACCTGCTCACTGCACTGACTCAACACACACAACAAGTCAATCTTTTAAAGAGCTTTGATGGGGATGAGGGCAAGATTAAAAAAATCAAGCAATTAAGTCAACGCTGTTGTGACAGCTTAAATCAATTTGTGGAGGAGCAGCGTCCATGAGACTAACACACACACACACACACGCTGGTCTCAAACAGAGCTTTTCTGCATAGTGGCACAACCTCAAAGAGTGACGCCGTCCGCTCTACATTTCAAGGACAAAGTCTCTGGAAGCTTACCTTCATGTAGTTGACTATCTTTGCAAGGCAGCCAAACTTGTACCCAGAGCTCGTCTTGATGTTGATGTTTCCATTACTGGACTCTGGAGAAGAAGAGAAACAAGAGTTAAAGCTAAATTAATGAGTTCTGCAGAGTTCATTTTCTAAGGCTGACACCATTTGACACTTTATGGGAGCTGTAGATGTTATGTTGATTTCACTGTTTAAATCAACGGATGTGATTCTAAGGTTGTCAGAGTTTTTGACGCTTTAATTCTTTTTACATTTTCAAACAATAACAGCTTCGTCTTTTTATTTATTGATAGAATAGAAAAGTACCAACGCTTTAAAAAACTTCATATCGGGGGCGCCGCTAGCATAGAGGGTTAGAGCGCGCCCCATGTACGGAGGCTTTTGTCCTTCAAGAGGACGGCTTAGGTTCAAATCCGACCTGTGGATCCTTTCCCACATGACATTTCCCACTCACTCTCTCCCTCTCTCTCTAAATTCTGACTCTATTGACTGTCCTAACTCGAAATAAACCTTTAAAAAAAATCTTCAGCTCAAAAGCCAAAAGCCACTCAGAGCAAAAGAGAAAGAGGTGCACTGAGATGTTGAAGGTGTTCATAAAATTTTGCCCACTCCACTAACATGAAATCGTGAAGCATATGTGTAATGATTTGGAGTAACTATGGAGGTCTAGAAGGAATAAATAGAAACAAAAAAAAAACAATATTCATGATTTCTTTTCACAGCCAAAGCTTGTTGGATGGTCGGTTTTGTTTTGTTGACGATATATTATAAGAGTAATGTGAGGAGAGTGTTTTGAATTGAGGCAGCTGGTCCGAGTCACTGCTGGGAGTCCAATATGTTTCCCCCCGTGGAGACCGTCTGAGGTCTGGCCTCGGCACTCGCCAATCAAAGCTGACAACAGACACTGATTCATGAATGATTCATGGTGTGGGAGGGAGCTTCTGTTGCTGTGAGCAGCAGCAGGGGGCGGGACGGTAGAAATGTGACAGGCCGGTGAGCGAATGGTGCAGAGGCAGGGCTAAAAGAAAAGAGCCAATGATGGAGAGGAGCCCCCCCCCCCCCCCCCCCCCGATGCTTGTCGGAGTCATGAAGCACTGCAAGGAGTGGCGGAGCGGAGCAGAGCGAGTGCACGACTGAGGGTTGAAGGCGCATGAGGAGTGCTGAGGAGGAAAACAGGTCGACGAGGAGTGAACGCGGAGGAGGGAGAGAGTGGGAGACGGAGCATTAAGGTGGAGCACCACAGAGAGGAGAGAGTGCATCTGTTGCCTTGCATCTTTGACAGACTGAGGCGCACACACACACAAACACACACAGGTGAGTCTGCATGTTTCAGCATCATCAGAATAATGTGTTTGTGTTTGACAGATCATAACAATCCACGGTCATGATTTAAGCTACAGGCTGAAAACTGTTTGTAGCCACCGTTACACATTACCATTGTATGAATAATCCAGCATTCACAGGGTCAATCATACATTTTTAATAGCAGTAGATTATTTTCCAAAGCCAGTTTCTTTCTGCCTTAGAAACACTCAACACAAATGAACACACAGACATGACCAGCCTATCATCCACCTATCATCCAACTATGTATTGAAAACACACTCTGTATTTATATCCTCACTCTGAGCTTAGACCTGTAGGAGGAAAAGGAAATAAGTAGGCCAAAACTGAAAGCGCAGTGGATTAAAAAAACATGGATCTGTCTGCCTGCACTCCTACACTCCTACAGGAGGCATCAGAAACTCTATGTGTGTGTGTGTGTGTGTGTGTGTGTGTGTCTATCTTTCTAAACTGCTGCTCTCAGGACAAATCAATGAGGAACGGACATCTGTGAGGAGCCAGCCAGGGGCATTACGAGTGTATAAGTGTGTCTAGTGTGTGTGTGTGTGTGTGTGTGTGTGTGTGTGTGTGTGTGTGTGTGTGTGTGTGTGTGTGTGTGTGTGTGTGTGTTGAGAGTGGCAGCTGCTGTATAGCCAGAGAGCAATATATTTTTTCCTACAGCACCTTAAAGAACCTGGATGGGGTGGGGCTCATTTAGGGTAAGACAACAGATGCTGCAGGGAGCCTGAATCTGTCTTTATATGCGTGACTGCTCTTACAAAAAAAAAAGGTTGTTGTCATGGCGATGATTCCCAGTGAAGTTGATAATGTGACCCCAGTGTGGGGCATATTGAGGATGTAAAAGAGGGGACATTCTGTGCACACTGTAAACGATGATGTGGTTCAGTCTGCTCCCATAAACCAATTACCAGCTCACACTAACATAGTTAACTGTGTGTGATCACTTTAGAGTGAAATAAGTATTGAAATAGTCATTATTCTCCTGCCGACTTAGCCTGACATAAATAACACTGTCTTAGCATCTCACCATGTAGGAACGTCTCCTCTTTAAATACGTAAAGAAGGCTTTTTTCTTTAGGATCAAAACCAAAGCTTTTAAATGAAATATGTTAAAAATTTGCATTTTTACTTCAAAATGAGGTTGTCAAATTTTCCAACACTTTGACCTTTTTGCAATTCCACGTCTCTAATTTCCAATCTGGTCCATGTCCATTTTAACGATTGTATCAAAAAGCAACAAACACTATTGATTTATAGTAATATTTTTAAACCCAAAACTGCCACAAAAGAATTAAGACAGAGCACTGTCTAAGCTGCACCAAAACATTGGCCACATGTCAGAACCGAAGGTTAAGTATTTGTGCAATCTAGACAATTTAGACCGTGTGCCAGAGTTCTCTCTTATTTTTCTGTTATTCAAAACAAGATATTAACAAATATTGGGAGCCTAGGACTTTTATTTGTACTGTTGTGTTATTGAAACAGGTATGGATATTGTTTGATTTTTACTACTCTTGTATTGAAGTTTAAAATTCTGCTATCGTTGCAACCCTACTTCAACATAAAAGCCCTATAACGGCTTCTTTTAAGAGAAAAGTCCACAGAAATAGACTCTGCAGCACCATGCATTTTTCAGGATGGTATCTCTCGCACAGTGTTGTTATAATTGCTCTTTGTAGACTGAGCACAGCAGTTAAGGTTCTTTAGGTTCTTTAGTCCTGAGATGACGGTATCGTAATCTCTTGAGATGTATGACGGCACTGCAACAAGGCTTATTTTCCTCTTACAGTTTCAAATAAAACTGAAAATTAAGCTACTGTCACACAGTGAGCATCCATCCATTTCTACTAAACGTAAAATATAGTCTCAATAAGTGCTGTTACAATAGGGAGGGAACACACACACAAACACAACCATGAAAAACGCTCAGCAGACGAGGCTCAAGTAAAGATGAGCACTCATGCCCCACTGCCTCAACTCACATTTTGTGGATCACTCAAATAATCTGGGTCAGCTTCCTCATCCTCAGTGAAAAAAGTGGCTGGGATTGTGTCTGTGTGTGTGTGTGTGTGCATGTATATGACCACAAATGTGTGTGTGTGTGTGTGTGTGTGTGTGTGCACGTGTCTGTGAAGAGATTCTGGCTCACTGTTCCCTGAGGATTTAAAATGGTTGGCTGGAAATGTGTAAGAGCTGAGGGGAGGCAAATGGGCTTTCAGTGAACACAAAATTCAATAACTACAATATTTTGAAGGCAGAAGAGTAAAGTGTAGTTGCCATGTTTCACTGTGTCGCTCTCTTCTCTAGCAGACTTTCTTTTTTTTTTTTTTTACTGTTTTTGTCGTGAACAGATGGACTCAGTGGGGTTTACCTTTTTGCTCTACTAACAAACTGTCCTCTTGTTTCTTTTTAGAGTGCCTTCAGAAGGCGGGGGTTTAACGTGTGTACGCACTGACACTGCAGTTTTACAGTATATGAAATGACTGAGGACATTACAGAGCACTGCCTACCAGGAAGAGAAGAGTGTAAGGAGACACACTGGCTGATGTCTGCTGCCTCTAGAGAGGCATTAGGCTTGTCAATCAGGATATCAGCTGTGTGAAAGTGTTAATAGAATCCATCATCATTAAGACCTGTGAATAAATTCATTGTTTGATTTTGATTATAGTGATGAATCATGACAACCGCCGTCAACACCTTTTTTTCCAGTCAAACTCTTGATAATCAGCCCTCTCTGTTTTAGTGTCTTCAAACCAGAAACCATGGCCAACACCACCGCCATACAACCAAGTGATCTCCCATGGCACCCGGAGGCGGCCCCACTCTCCCACGTGTCTCTGCAGGTCCAGGAGGTCTACCCTTTCCACGACGGCTGGAACGTGGCCTGCTTCATCATCCTCCTGCTCTTCATCCTCACCGTCCTGTCTCTGGCGGCCTTGGCCGTGCTCTACGAGCTACTGGACTGCGGCTGCTGTGCCAAGGGGAAGACGCAGCGGCAGCTGCAGGAGGAGGGGCCGGGAGGCTGCAGCCAGCTTATGACCGGCATATGCAAGGAGCCCGAATCCCACTCTGAGGTGGTATAGTGTGCAAGGTGAAGAAGAGTGGGATTTTCATTGTTGGACTAGGTGTAATATCAAAACAAAGACCATGATATCCTGAGAAAAGAACTTCTGTAAGTGGTGGTGCAAGTGCTTAAACGTTTAGATGGACACAGAGGTGAGATATGTACGAATGTATGAATGAACAGAAGGGAGTTTTTCTCTGGATCGGAGTTTAGCGCTTCTTTTGAGTTAGGAGGAAACCTTCACACATTTACACTGACTTCCACTAAACACACAAGGCAGACCCTCAAGGCCAACATTCACACCTGCACCGGGTTGCAAGAAAAACACTAGGTGGACAAGGGGCCTGATAACAGAACAAGAGATGGTGCTGGTATTTGTGCTGGAAAATATAAAAACACTAATTAGCCATAACAGGAGAATGCTGCCTCCATGAGTCGGCACACACATGAAACCTGTTGGAAGCATATAAGCTTCTCTGACACAAAACAATAGTTAATAACAACAAACTAAATTGTTGTATACGGCCATGACATGCCATCTACATCTAATGGATGGAGTTCCCTCGGTCCCCCATGGGACCTGGTTCAACAACAACTCAAGTGATCAAGCTTAGCCGGACATCATCATTCAAGTTAAAGCCAGTGTGTCTCCGTTCTTTAGTAGACTGTGTGCCAGTGTCGTAAACATGTTTAGCATTTTCAACATAATCTCATGACAAGTCAAGTGATGGTTGATTGCTGAACAGTGATGTCATTTATCCTGTCATATTAAGCACAGTGTATGATTTCATTTGCCTTTACCACAAAATGCCTAATAAAATGTCACTGCAAATGCACCGGAGGGTTTTTTTTTGGCTGGTTAGCGGGATAAATGCAGTGCTTGCTGGGTGATGTAGTGGGAAGAAACTCACATTAACAAGGTGATAAAAGATGGATGGGGGTCCTGCCTTAACTTAACGCAGTTTCTTTCTGTTAAAACGACAAACTTTCTGCAGAATTGAGCAGGAAATATAGTTTTTAAATGACTTCATTGCTTTAAAAATATATTTTTATTTTCCTCTTTTTAAAGCTCCTGACCCAGTGGACAAAGCTGTGTCTCATATCTCTTTGTTGATCTTGTTGTATACATGAAGTGTAAGCACTAAGTAGTGATTTCTGACACAAAAACTCGCCCTGCTTTCCTTTGACAGTCAAACAAATCAATAAATGTGAACCCATGCCAAAAGAAATGTATTAAAAAAAAGCTGTTAATGGCTTTGTCTGACACCTACCCTGTGGCAGTGTTTCGAGGCATTAAAAATCACTCTATAGAAATGATCAATCTTCCTCCTGGTGGTCTGACTTGCGTTTTTAGCTCATATAGAAGCAACAATTATAATTTAAGCGTGTTTCATAAGCAGCTAAAAACTACTCTCACAGGAGCTGGACAATGAACCTTCGTATATTTTAAACATCAGATCAAAATGAACATTTCTACTGAGCGACATTGAGACCTGGATCACCTGTAGGAGCCCAGGTTTGTTCAGGTTTGTAGAGTTTATTTCCTACATTTATTTAATAGTGTTGATTTATTATGATGTTAAGCTCCACAGTTTTTATTTTATTTTATTTTTTGCCTCAGAGTCAACATATTCAGAGACGTATAACTTTGAATTGAGGTTAAAAGTACTTGACTTCCTTCTACAGATCCACATGAATAGACGGACAAAGTCCTGTACAAAAGTCTTAGGCCACCATGAGATTTGTTTTTTTTATTATTGTAATTCATGCCATTCCTTCTGGAAATCACCTGATTGGGAATGGTTTTATGATTGGGAATGGTCTTTTTTTTTTTGCATTTGATCTCGATCTAAGTTTAGACTTTTGCCTGTAGAAGCTGTTTTGTTCCACACAAAAATTAATAATATTGTGTCCATATTTCCTGTCATTTCTGTTTGAATCCTCATAAAGACATAAAGAGACAGAGTAAATATGGATGGTCATTAAAACTTTACTGAAACAACAAATATTGTTGTGACATAGGTCACAGGACTGAGGTTTGGAGGTCTGAAGTGGAACCCGTCTGTGTGTATCAACAGACTTATCTTCATAGCAGTGACGAACCTAAACTGACCTTCTTAGAATCAACTGTCAACTAGGCCAGTGGTTCTCAACTGGTGGGATCCAGAAGTGGGTCGCAGACCCGTTTTTATTTGGTGGCAAACATGAGCCTTGAAAAAAATGCATTGCAAAAAATCTAAGATTAGCTTTTTTTTGTCACATTTTCTTTGGACTGAGGTCGGCCAACACTGTGCTGCTTTTCTTTAAATAAATCTGAGGAGTTAAAACATTTCAGAAATGTGGGACCAATTTCCATTTAAGGAGGTGGTGTTGGGTCCTGACTGAGGCTGGTACAGTTGAGAACGACTGAACGAGGCTATGTCATAAAAAACAGATAATAGTGCTTGTGATCATGCTCAACAAAATCAGGTAATAAAATGAGAACATATGTCAGTGATACTAGGACTTCTATCCCTACATAGCCAACCTGATCACCAAAAAAACATAGCAGCTGTAAAATGACCCTTCACTTACCCTGTTTGGACCCTGAGGAGCTCTCCTTGTCAAGTTTGGGCTTCTTCCTCTTGTGTGAGTCTGAAGGAGCCTGTCTCTTCTCTACTGCTGGAGTGGACAGAGCTCTCTTCTTGAACAGCTCCCGCTCCCTGAGTAGAGCTGGATCCATCCTGTCTGGCCAGAGAGGAAATACATCAAAAATTGAAATAGTCAATTTAAAAAAAAAAAAAAAAACTATTCTAGGGGAACTGTGCGCTCCTGACACCTTAAACAGGGTTCCCACTCTTTTCCAGAGATCATTTTCCATGATTTTTCCAGGACATTTTCAGCGATGATCGAGCTGGTATGACAGTCCGTGATCGTGTCTTTAACAAGGCTAATCACACCCACTGTGATCTACTGCTACAAAGGTATGTTGATGTGCTGACCTCAAACTGAGGAGAAAACACAAGTATACCTGATAGTTGTTGCCACAATTTACTCTCATGTAAAAGGTGTTTTGTTCTCTTTCTGTGAAGGATCTTTTTACTCCATCCTCTCAACTAAATTATAAATTATTAATATTATTAATAATATTATTATTATAAATAATTATAATAAAGGAGCAGAGGAGGTGATACCATCCATATTTCACAGGGTCTAGGTAAGGTTTCCTCCTTTGCCTTTTAAGTAATCCATCTAGGAACTAAAATAGTTCTTAGTTCCTGCGACGAGGAATCAATTGGTGTTTTCAGACCAAACAGTTCTGGGGACTTTTTTTAAAAGAGGAACTATCCACTAGGTAGTTCTCTGAGAACTACGCATTATGGGAACTTTTTTTCTGTCTACATTCGCACCGCTATGGTACCTACTCTGAAGCAGGAGCTGAAAAGGTTCCTCTTAACATCGTTAACAGCGCTCCAACAGTCCCAAGAACTATGAAAAAGTTCCTGCGATGGGAAAACGGCAAATAAAAACGGGGGAGGGCTGCAACTGTCCCTAGAACTATGAAAAAGTTCCTGCGATGGGAAAACGGCAAATAAAAACGGGGGAGGGCTGCAACTGTCCCTAGAACTATGAAAAAGTTCCTGCGATGGGAAAACGGCACATAAAAACGGGGGAGGGCTGCAACTGTCCCTAGAACTATGAAAAAGTTCCTGCGATGGGAAAACGGCAAATAAAAACGGGGGAGGGCTGCAACAGTTCCTAGAACTATGAAAAAGTTCCTGCGATGGGAAAACGGATAATAAAAACAGGGGGAGGGCTGCAACTGTCCCTAGAACTATGAAAAAGTTCCTGCGATGGGAAAACGGCAAATAAAAACGGGGGAGGGCTGCAACAGTCCCTAGAACTATGAAAAAGTTCCTGCGATGGGAAAACGGCAAATAAAAACGGGGGAGGGCTGCAACTGTCCTAGAACTATGAAAAAGTTCCTGCGATGGGAAAACGGCAAATAAAAACGGGGGAGGGCTGCAACAGTCCCTAGAACTATGAAAAAGTTCCTGCGATGGGAAAACGGATAATAAAAAAAGGGGGAGGGCTGCAACAGTCCCAAGAACTATGAAAAAGTTCCTGCGATGGGAAAACGGATAATAAAAACGGGGGAGGGCTGCAACAGTCCCTAGAACTATGAAAAAGTTCCTGCGGTTCGAAAGCGCCTTAGGACTTCTACTTTTGCTTCTATGGTATCACAACACAGTACATGTATGTCTCTGTTGCATTGACCTGCAGAGCAAGCAGCAGACTAAACTTGTAAGCTTATTTTGGCATAAAGTCAGGGATCCACCTGTGAAGCTTGGTGTGACACCTGACACCTTTATGTGTCAGATTTTGGTTACTTCATTTAGGAGACATCCTGTTAAGCAAATGTAATCTCAGCATGAAGTAAAGCATGTTTTGCAGTGACCTACATTACGAGATACATTTTTTTGGGGGGTCCTAGTGGAGGTCAGTCAGGGGCTCCTGCATTGCCTGTTTGATAATCTAATTTAGTGCCACTCCACAACAGTTCTAACAGATATCACCAAACAGCAGCTAACACTCTGGGCTGACAGGTCAACATTCATTAAACATTAATTATCAGCACAGATGCACAAAGTGAAAACTGACAAAACACGCAGAATATAACAGCTACAGCTTCTAACGTTTACATTAATTGTTAAACAGCAGATAAAAAAACTAGCTATTTAGTCGACATTGTTCTGAAATGTTTAAAAGAAACCCCAGAAACAGCTGCGGTTTACACTTTTGCTTAGCATTAGCATTAGCTCGTCGATTAGCTTAGCGTTGTCATGGTGAACGTTACCTGACTGTTTGTTCAGAGGCGGGTTTAGTCTTCCGGATGATATATAACAGGAAGTAAACGCTTCCTTCAGCAAGACAACATATTAAATTGTTCTTTTTTTTTTTTCCTTTTTTTTAAAAGACAATTTAAGTTCACGTTAGCCACCTAACTTCAAACACAACACATCTCTCTTTTTCTCTCATGCTGCATTTCCTGTTCTTGTTCGATTCGTCTGACATCGACAGCTAACGCGTGGACGACGTCATCACGTTGGCTGCGACGTTCGGCCCGTCAAATCTCTCCCACGCGTCACTGTAATTCACTGAATGTTGACATTATGTTACAACTTTAAATCTAATTAACAAGAAGGGAACTATACAAACTGTAAACCTGATTCAAGATGTCTTTGAAGATGACTTTTGAATGAATTTTATCATTTTGATGTGGTTTATTGACGATCTGTTAACAGCTTTGCCTTTTTTTCTTTTTATTTGTTGTTTATTTATTTGCACCTGAATCATTTCTCATGATTGTTCTAACTTTTCACAACAACAAACCACTCAGATGTACCTAGTTGTTAAATATAAATGCAAGGCTGTAAAATTGCACAAGAGCACCCTTTAGTGGTTTGATTTTGCTACTGCCTTTTATTTCAAGTCATTTGTAATTTCCTGGATATTGGGATATTGAGCATTTTCAAGTCCCGTCTGGTTAAATATTTGGTAAGATTTAATGAAAACTGTAAATAATTGTTTTACTGTGTCTACCAACAGCTTACTGTTCTCATGCTGCCTGGTCAGTAGCCTATGTGATCTGTGATGAGAAAGATTGCTGAATGGTTCTGAGATTTGAACAAATGTGTAAAAAAAAACCTCATTTTTTTTCTTTTCTTTATTCCTCTATTATATGTTGGGGGGGGGGGTGGGTTCCTATGTAGATCCTTTTGGCGGCCGTGGTTGATATATATCACAGTTGCCCTTTTTAAGAATGCAATACCCCTGTTACAGAAAGGCGGCCAGGTAGTGGTTACATGTTTTTTTTTTACATGTAATTTAAGTGTCACGATGGCTGCATATAGGACCGGCCATGAGGGGGGATGAAGGGGAAAGATTTCTGGGGAGCCAGTCACATGGGGAAGGCCCATGAAGGTAAGCAACAATGACCAAATTGTATATTACACATAAATACGCACCATTACCTCTTAAAGCAACAAAATCACACATTTTATTTATTGTTGCTTCAGTAAAACGTTTTAAAATGTAAACCCATCCTTCTTCTGAAAATGATATGAGACATAATGTTACAGACAGCTGTTACACCAGTTATGTCACAATCAGTATAACAACTCCAGGTCCTGCACAAAGTTAGGATGTCGGAATAGAAAGAAGAAGAAAAGGAAGGAGCTGGCTCGGGCATTTGACCCCGACAAAAACTTGTTCACCAACTTTTCTTTCAGTCAGCTCCTAAAGGCCAATAGGAGCCAGGCAGAGGGAGCTAATGATATGTATACATTGATTCAAATCATATACTTGGAGGGCCCATACACTTGGCTTTTCAGGGGCCCAGTTGTTCCTGCAGGCAGGCCTAGCTGCAAAAACAAATCCACCTAAAGTAACCTGATCCTGAGAGGAGGTGGAGAGGGCAGTATCAACAAGGAGGTTTATTATTATCATCCTATGAACAGAAAATAGCGTCTCCACCAACAACCAACAACCAACACAAAGCATAAACCAACCAGTTACACCACTGGAGGCTGCTGCTGCTGCTGCAGACTGTTGTTATGAAACCGAGTACATCATTTCATTAAACTGAAGCCGGGCTTTGCTGACTGAAGGGGGGAAGGTAACACCAGCACTGGGTAATCAGGTGAGAGAAGCAGAGAGATAAAGCGGCAGTTTAACTGAGTCACCGCAGCAAATAGAGAGCTAAGCACTCAGGAGCAGCAGAGTGTAAGGTGCAGATTAGAGCTGAACCACGGCGTTCAGCTGAAACTGTAAGAGGGGGAATAAAGGGCTTTTTTCCCCCCAACAAATTAGTTTCTCAATTCCCGCACATGCTTAAGCTTTCATGCATGGATTAATTGGCACAGGATTCAAGAATTATGCGCTAACTTGTTTTAGCCCAAACGCTCCCTGGATATTAACATAAAGACTTATCTTACAGCTTTCATTTTGTGCATGAATGACCAGAACATATTGTTAAAGTGTTTTCTTCCTAAAATTAAATTGCTTTGGGAGGTGAAGCGCATCAAACCCTTTTGTTTTTATAGTATGTCAGAGTGGATAGTCTGGTATGTATGTAGTCAAAATGTGGCTTTAAAATCCTGAGTAGTTACACATTTTATTAAAACTCCTATGAGGAACTTTTAGGTTGTGTTGTTTTTGGCGCCCCCTGGTGATGAAGTGTAACAGAGTTAGAATTAACCTCTATGTTGAATTTCTGCAAAGTTGATGTGACTGTCATAAATTTGTTACTTTGTCGCCTCCTGGTGGTTTCATCAACTGTATTGGAATGGTTCCCACCTGGCCGCCGTACAAACCTCAGCTGAAGATGTTTTGTAAATAATAAGTGAAGTCACCCATCGGTATCTGGAGGACTGTTGAAGAAGACTATCTATGGTGGTTGCCATGTTGGAATTGCTGACTCTTTCAAACTTTCTGTCCACCTAACTAGAGGAAAAGATCTGGAGCTGAAGCGGCCTTAAGCCTCGAGACAGTTGCAGTCAGGTGAGACATATACTAATAAGACCAAATTGTTTTTTTATTTTACCAGGCTGTAAACATGCTAATTTCTGCTGTAAAAATCAACATTTTAAAATGGGGTGTGTATGGGACACTGTCTTTCAGAGCCTTGCCTCTAGCTGTCCCATGAGGAACAGCAGCTTCCTCAAAGGGTTAATTTTTCCACACCCTGGGTTGCTGCTTGGAAAAAAACTCTGTGACAGCTCTGAACATCTGCTCGCATAGAAGAGAAATGCTGCTGTGCTTGAATAAAACTGAAAACAGTAAGAAACTTCATTTTAGACATTATATTTCCCCTTTCATAATTTCACCGTGATTGTATCTGACTGTTCTTATTTGTCTTTCTTAAACTGAAATTCAACTCAGTGACATTCTGTCGGTTCAATAACTTGTAAAGAAAGCAATTACTCTCAACAACATGGTTCGGTTGTAAGCCCAACAAATAAAGTGGTTGTAGATGAAAAAAAACAATCCTGCTGTCAATTAAAAGCTAAATGTAACACTGGTTATAAACTTGTTCTCTGGAAAGTGCTGGACAAAAGGCTTTTTGTACCGTGAGCTGAGAGTTGTGTCATCTGACAGCTACCCTATGACAGAAACAGACATTTCAATTCATTATAAAAAACATATTCAGTCTTCGTCCTAATGATTCGTTTTGTTTGTCATTAAAAGGCATCAATATTAATTTCAGTCTGTTTCACAACCAGTTAAAAACTCCTCACAGGAGCTTTAAGTTTGGTTTCTGTTTAGGGGGTGTGGCCTGATCTGATTTGATTGACAGCACACAAAAACTTACTATATTTAAGCCATCTGGGTTTTTGATTTAATGTTTGTCTGTCCTTGTTGTTTCCAATTTAGCCCGGACCATGTTGTGACAGCGAGAAAAACTGTGAAAAGAAGTCCTTGTTCAATAACCTTTAGTGTTGTAACTCCTGCAGAAAAAAGTTCATGAAGGACTTTGTTGCTTACAGTAGAAAGCTGACTGAGAAAATAAATGTTTGGGCCTCCAAAGATTTCTGAAGGACATCTATTGATCAGCCATTGAACAATAAAGGTCAAGATTATGACATGATATGGAACTTTCCAGTTGTTGAACAAGCTGCAGGTTTTGTATGAGCAGAGATGACTCTGACTACAGATTACATCTAAAAACATAAATCAAATCCACCTTTAAATCTGCTGTGGGGACTTACTAGCTGGTTATAAATCAGACTGAAATGAATATTGATGATTTTTTACAACCTACAAAAGGGAACAAGGCCATTAGTGTTCAGACTTATTTTCTATATAGTTATTTATTAGGCCTGAAACCAATAATGGTGGGGGGGAAGGTGTCAGACAAAGTGATTAAGTGTGCGCTGCTTGAACAGACTTTTTATTCTAATTTCCTTGTGACACTTTTTATCTTTTAAAGAAAGCAACAAAAAACCCACTGCTTGCAACTTTACAGGAGAAAATTAAAGCGATAAAAGGCAATAATTTGTCCAAAGATGGCGCACCAATCCTTTCTTTGAGATGCCGGTGGTTTGAGGGATATCAGGAGCTTTTTGCTATTTTGCTGCCGGCTAATCAGAGGAATGGACACGTGGGAAGGAGGGGTCTTAAAGAGACAGCAGCTGAAATGAACCGTTTCAGGCAGAGGTTGAAATTTGGAATTTTACTGACGTCAGTATCAGATTTAAAGGGGGGGTTTTTGAGCGACTTATCTCACAATGCTACCCAACAGGTGTCCCAGACTGACAGAATTAATGGTGAAAGTGAGTATTATAGATCTCCTTTAAACAGTCTCATCAGCTATTAACTGAGATAAGAGAGTTGTCATATTTCGATGCATATTAGTTTCCTGTCTTAAATCATCAATCTCATATTTTTCATCTGTTGCTGTATACCTTCATGTCAAAAGTCTGAGATGTTGATGTAAAAATAAAAGTACAGAATGGCCCTCGGTTCATTTGTGTGTGTGGGTGAGTTAGTCCTTGGTTTTGCTATATTTAAAAAAAAAAACTCAAAAGCTCTTTCTTCAAGAAATATGCATCAGCCTCTGATGTGCAGGTACAAGGGTTATCACGATACCAGGATTTTAAAATTTTGATACGATTCTGGGGAAAATTAAACAGTATTGATTGCTGTTACCATGGCAACAACAATACAACAAAACAAGTTCTTGCTTTTTGAATTGAAGGCAAACTCCTGCAGACTGTTGATTTCTCACAAAGAGACATGTTTTCTCTCCTCTGCTCCCGGCAGGTTAAAAATGTGACTGAAGATCTGAAGTCTGTTTTTTTTTTTTTTTTAAGCTGGTGTTCTTAATAACTATTGATCGTGAAAATAAAGAGAGTTTTTGTCCTTGTAAAACACTTAGCATTGGAAAACAGCAAAAGTGTGTCAACCTTTAGCAGGTGCAAGAACTTAAAAAAACAGGCATCCCCTTTACCTCCCCAACTCTGAAGATGCTGATGCAGATCATAGGACAAATTAGCATCTCCAAACTTAGAATTAAATAT